CACACTGGCCCAGTGTATTACCAATGGACGATGTGTATTTGTGTACCAGACTCTATTTTTACGAATAAGAAAATGCAGTAACGCAGGTGACTGTTCAAGTTTGTTTGTTTCGTTCTGGATACTCTCTGACGCAGTTGTAGACGCAGTATTCGCTGCCCAAATTAGAGTTAAAATTCATGCATTTTTTTTACACAGATGTACGATTCAGTTGTTAGCAAATATAACTGTTTTAATCCAATTAACAACAGGAAGTAACCAGAATCAAGATTTATCTTATGTCCGTTATTCAATGTTAAACCACCCCACTTTCCGAACGCAAACCACTATCGCCATACTGCTTTTGATGCTGAAGGTCAGACAGCAAGATCAATATATTGTATCGGCCGTTTTTCCTCTTTATAAAAGAGGGGTTTCAGCTGTGTGTCCGTGAGTTGTGTATTGTTCCACGACAGTCTCGACTTTTGTTTTGTAATGCGTCAGACAAACGTAATTTGCATACCAATCGCCATTAATGACCACAATGATATTTACAAGATTAGTCTGTCCACATATTTTTGTATTAAGTAATATAGCAGGTGACTGTCTTCAATGCCATCATAAGACTGTACCTAAGGGTATCTCGTCCTCTGGCAACCGACACCATTTATTACATGGCTTCATATGATCAGCTATAAATACAAATGGACACAGAACAAAGGAAACAATAGATTATCTCACTTACTATTGTTTCCAACCCCAAGCTGTGAACTACTTAACATAACAATAGACTCTCAATTAGGCTAAACAAGAGACCTTTAAAGTCTATGACATCATCGGTTGTCTTGAATAATTTTGCATGTAATTATAGTCACTGCAATGGGATAGACAGGAAATCCCGACTTGACCAGATTCTATTGTCCATTTCTGGCAATGTAATTCAAACAACTGAATTTAACCCAAACAATTGTTTGTTATAATCTAAATAACGTAGAGTGCCGAGAGTAATATTACTTTTGGTTTACTTTGATATTGTCATTATAAATAAAAAATCAATTTGAGATTATTCCATTTATTTTGGAATTTTTGGATCATTTTGCAATTCATCTGATTTAAATTTGTGCTGTTCAGTGCATGCATGTATATATATAATACCAATTGCATTTAACACTGAATTTGTGAGGGTATCTATAATGTAAAAATAAACATTTGCCTTCAGGATAAGTGTGAACTTACAGCCTGCAATTGCATCTTTAGTTTATAAATCTGATCGTACTATGGAACACTTGTTAATGAATAAAGCTATCCCCATTACCCATATCTCAACATGTTGCTTTGTTCATGGGTTTAATGCACTTGTTTAAATTTGTTTAAACACCTTATTTGATGAATGCCAGTTTAGTATGTTCACCTTCGTTATTTTCTAATTGAGCTATATTTTTTTCGCTATCTGAAATACAAAATAGTTAATTAATTATGTGATTTCAAACTTGGGTAAATGGGAATCTCGCTATATGCATCTGCAAATACTTTATTTACTTGTATAATTATTCATTCTTTACCAACAATGTTTGTTCATCGTTTGTTATCCCTCGCTGTGGCGAAATGCTTAGTTGCATAGTATTAGGCTATCACTTGATATTACTAGTTCTTAGAGCTGATTGATACAAGTGACATGAGTCAGCATCAGCGAACTGAAGGAGTGTCAATCAGTTCTACAGATAAGTGATATCAGATAATAACATTTTTATTACATGATCAAGTGTCAAAATGATTTCAAAGAACACCGCTTCCTATTACAATCATATGCTAGTTAAGTTTTCAGTTTGAACTGTTTGGTAGGTTGTCACAAGTCATTTATACCTTTTGCTAAGTTAATCAATAGTTTATACACTTTATGTTTTGCAGGTATATACAGTATATGTCTATGTCAGAATATTAATCATTGCTAAAACTCTGCTTGTTCGTGTAAGTATGTTTTCTGAAATATTAAACTAACATACCCTGTACTAATGTATGGATGTGAATGATGGTCGTTTGTTCCTATTTTCCATATTTCAGTGGTACTGGCATTTAATCTATATGCAAACTAGTATGTCTGGGCCCAATCATAACCATCTTGATCAATAAGGTACTCTTATTGAATGCAGACCAGACCATGTGATAGTAACACAGACCATATAAACTTTTGTGTATAAACTGTGCTTCATGATGTGATTGAATTTAATTTTTTTTTTTTTTTATTATTGGTTCAAATTTATATGTTCTCTTGGATTCTTCATGGCTGACAACTGTAAGTGTTCTCAGTCGTTTAATACCAGGAATAGGACAAGTGATGAATTTTGGGTATGTATATAACTTCACAGTTATAATTTCAGAGTTTTCAATTAAGTACTACTTGCAGTGTTTTCTTAAAATTACTCTCAACAAATTGGAAATAGTACAACCAATTTGTGAGCCTGAACATGTGTTTTTTGATAAAATTTGTATTCCTGTATTCTTCATTCCAGGTGTACAAGTAGATACATATTTTCACAAAATTGGGTAAGTTTAACTTTCTTTTCTCATAAAAAAGAAGTTAAGTCTTGCAAAATGTTAAATAAATTTATTGTTTCCAAACATTTGGTGGGAAAGCTGTCTGCACATATGATAGCCAAACAGTGTATTCTGAGGAGCAGGCATATCCATCTATAACTGCTATTACAAAGAGTGTCACAAAAGTGATTCAAGAGTATCGTATGCTTTCCAAAAATAAGCATAGAGAGCAGGGTCTGAAAAGATCGGAAGAGTTTATGGGTAAGGATTTCAAGCTACCATGTGCCCAGCCCCAGCAGCAAAGCTGTTCAGCAGAAACAAGTTCAAAACCAAAAGGCAGCACCATGGAAGCCTCTGTTTATAAAGATGTTGCGTGTTCTTTGGCAGGAGAGTTGAAGGAGCTGGAGCAAACTAAAGAGCAAGAGTTTAAATCCCTCCATCATGAGATTAGATCCAAGGAAAAAATTATTCAAGCACAGATTTGTAAACTTGAATCTCAAGTATCACTAGAAAAACAGATTGCATCAATGGCTGTTCGCTTGAACACCAAAAGTTCTGAATTAAAACGATGCAGAAGTCGTGAAGATTATTACCGTTCAAAAGTTCAGAAGCTCTCTCGCAGTGTGGCATCTAATGTTGAAGAAACGCAAAACATCCAAAAATTGGAAGAAGCTCGAAAAGAAATATGTGACCTCAAAGACCATCTAGATGAGCTTCTTACTGATAAGGAAGAGCTACTTCAACTGTCTGAAGAAGAAGTCATATTGTATGACGTTGACGAAAAATGCTACACGTTTGAACTTCAGCATTGTGTTTACACATTGTTGGAGCATCATGTTGGGTTGGCACATGTGGGTCCTGTCATTGAGACAGTCTTAAGATTGGTTAAAAAGAAGGCCAACCGAATTCCAAGCCGCTCCACAGTCAGCAATATGAATTTGCAGAGGCTTTCCTTGGCACATCAGCAGATCACTGAGGAGCTGTCAAAAGAGGACCATACAACCTTGTATACTGATGAAACCAGCAAGTTTGGTTCAAAATATGGTGGTTTTCATGTGAGTGATTCCACTGGTAAATATTATGTGTTAGGTTTACGTGATATGGTGACCAAGTCTGCTCAAGACACTTTGGAGGTCTTTCAAGAGATTCTCACAGATATGGATGATGCCTCTGAAACTCAAGACAACGTAACCTCACGCAGAATTTTGAGCAACATTACAAGCACCATGTCTGATAGAGGCAGTACTGAGAAGAAATTTAATATCCTATTGGAAGAGTATAGAAAAACGGTTCTTCCTTACACCATCCACAATTACCATCTATTAGAGGGGGAAGACAAAGGTGTAGTTGACAGTCTTTTCAATTTCTTTTGTGGCCTTCATAGCCTTGTCCAGTATGCTGAAGTCACAGATGCTGCTATCCTTCAAAGTACGGAAGCTGAATTTGGATCTGATATACCTTCATTCAATCCAGCATATAACAGAAAACAAGAGTCCCCAGTGGTGAGGCTTGTACGCACTTCCTGTAAAATCTTTGCTCGAGGTGGCGATGAGAAATGTGGATGTCATGGTCCATTCAGTGTCTTTGTCAGATTTCTTGCGAGAGAAAAGTTTCAGATCCCTACCATTGGTGCCATATCGAGGTAATCGTTTCAATATTCTTTTTACCAATGCTAGTCATGTGTATTTCCTGCATAAGAAGATGACAGAGTTCTTGGATATTCACAAGTCAAATGCTTTGCATAATTCTGTTCTCTATGATCTGAAGCAGCCTTTCTATGTTGCTGGATGTAAAGCACTTGGTCTTCTCTCTAAGCTTGTCACAACACCCTTTTGGCGTTTGTTGGAGAAAAAAGAAATTCATATTCTGGATATGAATACCTATTATCTGCAGTTGATGTGTTTTCTTCGTGATACCTCCAATAATATAGAGGAATTCATGCTTGGCAAGCTGCTACCTTTTGGGGAAGACACAGAAATACAACAAGATGTGATCTGTGACTACTTGCTTGAACCAGCAGACGAGTATGACCACCATGTTGTCAGTATCCTTTCTATTGCCTTTCCTGCTCTTGCCATCACTATCCAGACCCAACACAAAGAACACCTACCAGGAGGAAGATATTCTGATGTTACCGAGGATCTGAAAAAGCTTACAGAGTGCAGAAAAACACAACAAATTTTCTGAGCGAGTGTTCGCATATTTAGATATGTTGTTGCGCCATCGTCCCAATATTACTACCTTAACAGCTGAAGCCTACATTATGTATTGCAACAACGCAACAGGGAGATGGTTGACCACAAAATCTCAAGATGAAATGGCAGTCCTGGTTAAAGAAGCACGAAAGGATGTGAAACATCTTCGCACTTTATTTGCCAAGCGACGAGACACCATCGTACAAAAGAAAAAAAAGCGTTACAAGAACAGAAGGCTGTTGCAGAGAGAAAAAAAAGGCTCAACTTAGAGTTAAAGAGAAGGTGACCTCAGATATGATCCACTATGGATTATGGCAATACAAGCAACAAGTCTTGGATTCATTGGCTACTTTCCAAACTATTGAAGGAAAGAAGGATGGCTTAAAAGCCCAGCTTCGTTTTCGGGATACTGTCCTTCAGCAGAAACCAATTACACCAAAAGTGTACACCTTCTCTAAGAGAGTCTCACCGGATAGTGATAGGAGAGTATCTCTGACATGGCAGGAATTGAGAGATAACCTTCTCACTTTGGTTGAAAATGCCTTCAATTTGCCAACAAGCCAGGAAGACGGGCAGGTAATACTTACCGGCAAAGCAGTTCAGCATAAGTTTGTAGAAGATGGAGCTGACATTTGGTATACAAAAGTTATTTCCCAGGTTTGCCTTTTCACGAAACTATGAAAATAAACTTAAAAAATGTATAAATTGTGTTAACAGTAACTGAGAATCATCGGCACAGCACTAGAATCATTAACTTGCTTTCCATTTTCAGGGTAGCAACACCTTTATTCATCATCATTATTATCAGTTGTAACCTATGTCAGTAATGTCATATGTGACCATAATCACACCTTTTCTTTCATTTCAAATATCTTTAGTTCATGTGTCTCCACCTAAGTGAAATGAATACTGTCATTATTGTATAGTATGTGTTGACCTATAATTGTAGCAGGCTCAGTTTCATATTTCATTAAAAAATGGTTGCCTGCACATGATCATATACAAATAAAATTTTAAGTGAATTGTATTATTCAGTGTTTAATATGAACAAATGTAATTGTCATAAATGGTATACAGTGCATTGCTAGCATAATGTTTAGCTGGTTTCAAAACTAACATTTCCTGAGGTGAATAATAAAGAGAAATATCAACAATCTACTCAGCAAGTATCAGAGTAACAGTTATACTTGGGTTGTAATATTACCTTTATACTGTCTCAAATGTCATATAACTTTGGTAGATTGCAAGCAACTCAATTTAAATTTCAATCTCACAGGTCCCAGGTTATGGGGAATGGTTTAATATAGTTTACGACGATGACCAAGCTGTTTATACCTACAAGTTATTGGATGACTATCGTGATGGTGATCTGAAAATACTTGTGTCATCCTGCTAGGTCTGTTTGATCATTTCACTTAAAATTGTTGTCTTCTTTGGTTACAAAAACTGTTTTTATCTGATCATCTTCAATCTTGAAAATCAATCTCTCTGAAAACTAAAGTGTGATATCAAAGTAAAATTTGGTTAAAACATGTGTTAGACATAGAAATAATTGAATGAAGACATTTATAGCACTGAGAACCAGAAGATAGTAGTAATATGGACTCTGTCTATTAGATAAGTGTCACAGTAGTAAATTATTGTTTTAATTAGGAATATAATTAGCAAAGTTACAAGTATAGTATAGTTTTCCCGCCTTTTTCAAATCTGGTTAGTATTTCAATTTGCCTCTATATATTACTGCACTTATTACTGTTATTTGGCAATTTATATATAACTCATGTTATATTATTCTATAGGGGACACTAAATGTAGTATTATTTGTTTCAGGACTTCTATACTCACTCTTGCTGATGAAGAGAAAATATTTTATTATTTAATCATGATTTTCAATGGATAAGGTTGTAATTGTTATGCTATGTTTATATTTTAAAACCGACCCATTTAAATTTGATATACAGGCATGGCTGTGATATTTTTTTGTGTTGGAAAGCTAATTTTAGCTGTTAATAAAAAAAAGTTCTTATAAATCATTTGTTTGCGTATTGATTAATTCTATATAATTCATCACTCTATAAGAAAAACAAGGCAAATTGCAAGTTTGGTAGACTTTTGTGACTACTAGTTTGATAATTAATCAGATATGAAAAGATTCTATTTTGGTTTTATGATGCAGCATGTTGTTTCAGGCTTTAAATTGGTAGAATTTGGATTGACAGAAAAAGAGAACCTGGCAGCCATCTTGTCATGAATATTAATTTATGCAAATTAGAGGTATTCCACATTTGAAGTCATTTTTAGGTTTCTCTTGAACTGTACTACCAATGTTATCATGTTATGGAATGTTTATCATTTATATGCAAATTGCTTTGTTATAGCTACTCCATGCCGCATTCAACATGGCGACGCAGGCCATTCAAAACCGACATGAAATATCCGCGTTTCACGGTTCGACTCAACACAGCCCTCCAAACCCACCAGCGACGACCGCCAACCATGGATCAAATTCACCGCCTCCCACAACTCAACACTTCAGTAAATCTGCTACTCGATCAGC